GGTTCTTACAAGCTTTCTTGGTTTTGTTTATAGGTACAAAACCCTTAAGAGAAACAACAAAGAAGAAAGAGGTATACTAGAAGATCAAGACTCGAACTCTCTCTTCTCTAAGAAGGCTCTCTTCTCTTTCTCTNTTTGTAANCTTTGCTCTCTATGCTTGTCTCGGATCTTATTCAAAGTTATGGGACGTCTTCCTNTTATAGCCAATGTTGTGTCTTTGTATTTCCTTTTTGCACTTGTAATTACCTTTCTTTTAGTTTTTTTTTTGTTGTTGAAAACCGACTCAAGGGATAAAGGAAAACAAATGTATTGGACTATTCAATGCTTAGGTCAGAATATTGATTTAGGCCCATCTCATTTACAGTAAGGGGAAAAAACGAGTGAAGGAAAGGAATTTACTGTCGGGTAAGACGTGGATTTTGATTTGCTCATCCCCATGATATTTTGCCGGAATTCTATCCTTACAAAAGAACAAATGGATTGAAAAATCCCCAAGATAACCCTCCTTGCGAAGATCTTCTTTCATCTTTTGATAAAAAGATTCAGAATCGAGACGACCATCGATTGGATAATCCTCCACGTTCCAAAAGACACATGTATTACCCTCTGCGAGCCGAATTATAAACAATTACGAGACATAAACAACAAAAGAATTCGATCCCATCAAAATTTAGTAAATCGATCCCGATGAAATCTAATCTTTGACCATAGACAAACAATTCCGAGCAAGAGACAGAGATATAGCTAGAGAGATCTTACTTTCGTATTTTACGAGGGGAATGGGTTCGTCCGGCAGAAGATGAGAATTCATGGTTTCGACGACGGATGAGATACTTTTCGTGAATCCAATTTAGGGTTATACGCTATGCTTCTAATTATTGGGAGATAGAGGTCGAGATCGACCGAGATTGAACGGTCCAGATGACCAAACCAAGATTATGGAAATAAGGAACATCTCCATAAATATTAATCTTTCTAATATATTTGATATTGACAATCTTCTGGAAATCTTCTTTATTCCCATAATTTTGGTTTGGTCATCTGGACCGTTCAATCTCGGTCGATCTCGACCTCTCGATCTCCCAATACTTATCGTATATATACAGGCTCGATAGTATTTTATTGGGCTGGGCCTGGCAATTATCCGATAGCCCATACGTATAAACTATATTATCGTATACCATTGTTTAGTTTATACAGGCAGGCTCGAATTTTATGTAGAATCAATCCTACTTGAGACCCTTTTTACCTTTACATTTCTTGATCATGTATGCAAAATTTCTGTATCTCAAAGATACTGCACTCGTAACAGAAAAGCACCCATTGATTTTAACATGATGATACATACTTGTGTAGTTAACAATTCGATACATTTTGGAACAATAATCAGAGGGTATTGATATATATGTTCCCTCAAAGTGATTATTACAACCTACGCATACATATATTATGACTGAATGGCAAAAGACAAACCTAACTTTCTTTTTCTGGTGGAGATTATTATTACACACTGTTAAGAAATATGAACTCAAGTTAGGAAAGCTTTGCGCATGTGCTCTCTTAACTATG